GGTACGTATTGATGTGCCATCCTGGAGGATTTGGACTGCCTGTGCAACCTTTGTAGGGTCCAGGTATCGCCTCATACTACCAGTAGTAACACTGACCCTAGCCAAATGCAAAACTAGTGAAAAATGGTCAGAAAAGATGAGTAGGGAAAAAAATGTCAGTGGCCTCCACCTGGAAAACCATTCCTGTTTTGGGGGGTCATCTCATTGGTGCCCATCTAGTGCACCTGTTGTTAATTTCATTAACATCAAAGCAGCTGAAACTGATTAACAACCCCCTCTGCTACTTAACTGACCAGATCAGTATCCCAGGAGTTTAATTGACTTGATGCTAAACTCTGTTTAAAAAGTTTTCCTTGACTTTTTTTGGTGTATGTGTGTGTGTTAGTGTTATGGTGTCAATCACAGTAGTATAATGGTATGTATCACACTACCAGCATGCTGCTGTTACTGCAAAGTCTTCTGCCCTTTACCCATTCAAAGAGCTCCTACTATTATTGTGCTACAGTGCATTATGTTCTGTGAATGAAGGAGGGATAGCTTAGAGACAGGATCTCCTTCCTTCATTCACAAATTGCAATACATTGTGAGTAACTCCACTTTTGTTGGGAAACAACATTCCCCTCTGGGTGATTTATGTACATTGCAGATTTTAACAAATTTGTTGCAGATTCATATTTTTTTGTTAGTCTGAAGTAATAGCTGTTTAATCTGTGCCTGGGTGCAAAATGAATGTGAATGGGAGGAATTTTATAATTATCAATCAGCTGCTGCACTTGCAGGGTTCTTATGAGGAAAGTGGCAGAGTCTGCATCCCTTTTTAGATGTGATTTCCCTTTGGCGAGTATTCACCATAAATAAAATCTTTGTTGCGAATAATGCCCAAAATGTAACTTGTTTCTTAGTGCAGACTTCTGGGAAAATCAATAAGCCAATCACACGAGCAGATAATGCCATTTCCGGTAGGGGTATTGTACATTATCTGTGTATGGAAGGCCTCCAGGTTGCCATATTGCATTGCATTTTATTTTATGGAAATTGACAGCTCTGGAGATTGAAAAGAAAAGGTAATTTTTAATAACATTCAATTACAGCATGACTTGTTGCAATTGTATGCACTATATTGTTTTTTGTTTTGTTTTTTTTGTTATTTCTTTTCTCACAAAAGTGGAGTTGCCCTTTAAATTGTATAAATTAAAGCTGAGCATTCGGTTTGGTTCTCTTTCTGTTGGCTGTGCTGTGTGTCAGAGATGCATGAATCTCAGGATTAGCTTCATAAAACTACAGATCCTTTGGCAGGTTGAAGAGTAATACTATATGTATTTCATCTGCGTTTTTAGCTGTGTGTGCTGTTGCATTTTACTGTGAACCTGAGGTCCAACAGTTTGATATAGAGCGGGCACACAAAGTGCCATGGCAGTTTCAGGGCCAGTGTTACCAGGCTTTTGTTTGCTACAGAACTGCTCCCCCCATAAAAGTCTAAGAATCCAAAAGCAGCTTAAAGCAGATCAGTGCAATGCAGTGAATTTTGAAAAATCTTAGTGTCCCAAAGAGATGTCAGAAGCCTCCTGCATGTGCAAGTGAAGTCTGCGGACACTGGAACTTACTCTGTGCCCCTTCAGAGAACTTGAGAAAGAGTAAATAAGAGTAAATAACCAAAAGTAAATAACCTTCAGAAAGCTAAGGCATTGACATGCTATGCAGACTGGACTGCTCACTCAGGCACTGAGCTTTGCTACTTGGATTGAAATTGGAAGATTACCTTTACATTTAAGTACTTTTGGTGGCCTTGTAGGCCCTGTGCAGATAAAAAACGTAAAATTAAAGTTATCTCACAGCACATTACACTGCTTGCTTTAATATACACTCACTGGCCTCTTTTATCAGGTACACTTGTTCAATTGCTTAGTAACACAAATTGCTAATCAGCCAATCACATGGCAGCAACTTAATACATTTAGGCATCTAGACGTGGAGAAGATCTGCTGAAGTGCAAACTGAGCATCAGAATGGGGAAGAAAGGGGATTTAGGTGACTTTGAACATGGCATGTCTGTTGGTGCTAGACGGGCTGGTCTGATAATTTCAAAAACTTCTGATCTACTGGGATTTTCATGCACAACCATCTCTAGGGTTTAGAGAATGGTCCGGAAAAAAAAAATATCCAGTGAGTGGCAGTTGTGTGGACGAAAATGCCTTGTTGATGTCAGAGGACAGAGGAGAATGAGCAGACTGGTTCGAGATGATAGGCAACAGTAACTCAAATACCCACTCCTTACAAATAAAGTGTGCAGATTACCACCTCTGAATACACAGCACGTCCAATCTTAAAACAGATGGACTACAGCAGCAGAAGACCATACCGGGTGCCACTTCTGTCGGCTAAGAACAGAAAACGGAGGCTACAATTTCGCACAGGCTCACCAAAACTGGACTATAGAGGATTGGAAACCTGTTGCAAGGTCTGATGAGTCTCAATTTCAGCTGCGACAATCAGATGGTAGGGTCAGGATTTGGCGTAAAAAAAATTGAAAACATGGATCCATCCTGCCTTGTATCAATGGTTCAGGCTGGTGATGGTGTGGGGGATATTTGCTTGGCACACTTTGGCCCTTTTAGTACCAATTGAGCATTGTTTAAATGCCACGGCCTACCTGAGTATTGCTGCTGACCATGTCCATCCCTTTATGACTACAGTGTACTCATCTTCTGATGGCTGCTTCCAGCAGGATAATGCACCATCTCACATCATTTCAAACTGGTTTCTTGAACATGACAATGAGTTCACTGCATTCCAATGGCCTCCACAGTCATCAGATCTCAGTCCAATAGAACACCATTGAAATGTGGTGGAACGGGAGATTCCCATCATGGTAGTGCAGCCGACAAATATGCAGCAACTGCGTGATGATGTCATGTCAATATGGACCAAAATGTGGAATGTTTCCAACACCTTGTTGAATCTATGCCATGAAGAATTAAGGCCGTTCTGAAGGCAAAAGGGGGTCCAACCCAGTACTAGCAAGGTGTGCCTAATAAAGTGGCCGATGAGTGTATGTGTTTGTGTATGTATATATACACTATATTGTATATACTAAAGTATTGGGACACCCCTCCAAATTATTGGATTCAGGGGTTCAAATCACCTCCATGGTCACAGGTGTATAAAATCAAGCACCTAGGCATGCAGACTGCTTCTACAAACATTTGTGAAAGAATGGGTCACCTCTCAGGAGCTCAGTGAATTCAAGTGTGGTACCGTGATAGGTTGCAACCTGTGCAGTAAGTCCATCCGTGAAATTTCCTTGCTACTAAATATTCCACAGTCAACTGTTAGTGGTATTATAACAAAGTGGAAGCAACTGAGAACAACAGCAACTCAGCCACAAAGTGGTAGGCCATGTAAAATGACAGAGTGGGATCAGCACATGCTGAAGCTCACAGAAGTTGCCAACTGTCTGCAGAGTCAATAGCTAAAGATCTCCACACTTCTTGTGGCCTTCAGATTAGCACAACAGGTGCATAGAGAGCTTCATGAAATGGGTTTCCATGGCCGAGCAGCTGCATCCAAGCCTGACATCACCAAGTGCAATGCAAAGCGTTGGCTGCAGTGGTGTAAAGCATGCCGCCACTGGACTCTAGTGCAGGGCTAGGCAACCTGAGAGCTGCAGGACTACAAGTCCCATCATGCCTCTGCAAGTCATAGCTGTAACTGTCAGTTTTGTAATGTTGCAATGCCTCATGGGAAATGTAGTTCCACAACAGCTAGAGAGCCGCAGGTTGCCTACCCCTGCTCTAGTGCAAGAGAGACGTGTTCTCTGGAGTGACCAATCACGCTTCTCTGTCTGGCAATCAGATGCACATGTCTGGGTTTGGCGGTTACCAGGAGAACGGTACTTGCCTGATTGCTCCCAACTTTGTGCGAAGAGTTTGGGGATGGCCCCTTCCTGTTCCAACATGACTGCACACCAGTGCACAAAGCAAGGTCCATAAAGATATGGATGAATGAAGTTTGGGGTGGAGGAACTTGACTGGCCTGCGCAGAGTCCTGACCTCAATCCCGACAGAACGGAGTTAGAATTAGAGTGGAGACTGCGAGCCAGGACTTGTCAGAAATCAGTCCCTGACCTCACAAATGCTCTTCTGGAAGAATGTTCAAAGATTCCCATAAACACACTCCTAAACCTTATGGACAGTCTTCCAAAAGTGATGAAGCTGTTCTAGCTGCAAAGGGCGGGCCAACTCAATATTGAACTAAGACTGGGATGACTTTACAGTTCATATGCGTGTAAAGGCAAGCGTCCCACTACTTTTGGTGATATAGTATATATGTGTGTATATATGTGTGTGTGTGTATATATATATATATAAAATATAGTTTTTTTTTGATTGTCTTTTTTTTATTACAGGTAGTGGGATTACATTTTACGTAGAAATCCTATATAAAACCTGTGCATCCTTCACATACGGATTTATTTTCTAAGGATAAACTCTGGAATGTATGGAAAGGAAACAAGCTTACTAGCTAATTCAGTAACCAATTACTTATTGCTTAACCCTGTTTATTCTTAGATGGATTAAGTATTTGTTGCAAAAGTCATAGTTACTGGGAACTGAAGTTTAAATGCTGACTTGAAAATACCTCTTCTGCTTTCCGGTGACAGTTTGTGTGTACGCCAGCTAGAGATAATATTTTGTCTTAGGAAACAGGGACCATTCCATGGGAAAGTAGGATGTTTTTCAAGGGCAACTCCTCAAAGAATTTGTAGGATGAGACAAGCAGTGTGTCACCTTTTGTTCCTGAATCTCTGTTTAATGGGATCATATGAACATAGAAATATGGTAGCCTTCCTGTGAGCATCTAATTATTTCTATTAGCAAGTTAGGCTGGAGTAACTCTTACAGTACAACAGAAATGTATAAATAGGATATACATTGCTAATATCCCATTAAGTAACTGTACTGTAGGGTAACTACCATATTTTTCGCTCCATAAGACGCACCTGACCATAAGACGCACCTAGGTTTTAGAGGCGGAAAACTAGAGGAAAAATATATTCTGAACCAATGGACTGCAGACATAGTACCGAAAATGACCAGAGACTGCAGACATAGTACAGTAGTACTGGAGATGACCAGAGACTGCGGACACAGTACAGGAGATGACCAGAGACTGCGGACACAGTACAGGAGAGGACCAGAGACTGCGGACACCGTACAGGAGGGGACCAGAGACTGCGGACAGCGACAGGAGGGGACCAGAGACTGCGGACACATACAGGAGGGGACCAGAGCCTGCGGACACAGTACAGGAGAGGACCAGAGACTGCGGACACAGTACAGGAGAGGACCAGAGACTGCGGACACAGTACAGGAGAGGACCAGAGACTGCGGACACAGTACAGGAGAGGACCAGAGACTACAGGGACACAGTACAGGGGATGACCAGAGACTGCAGACATACTACATCATATAAAGTCCCAACAGGGCCCCTCCACTCAGAATATCAAATGATCTGACACTATTCATCAAGGAAAAGGACTACAACTCCCAGCATCTGTCATTTTTAACTTATAGAAGGCAGGGGGCGCACTGAGCTCTGAGGACAGGCCACACCAGCAGATAGGACCGGACTGCAGAGCAGGGAGCGCACTATGGACACATGCCAGGAAAGGGGAGGAGCTGTAAGGACAGGCCACACCTGCAGACCGGACCGGACTGCAGAGCAGGGAGCACAGTACATAGACATGCCAGGAGCGGGGAGGAGCTCCGAGGACAGGCCACACCTGCAGGGTGGACCGGACTGCAGAGCAAGCTGGCTGGGTTCGGCGAGGGGACTGCCTGCTATGAAGTGCTGCGGGGACAGCCTGCTGAGAGAGGGGATAAGGTAGGGTGAACTTCGGTGACAGCCTGCAGTGGGAGGGGACAGGCTGCAGTGGGATGGGACAGCCGCTGGCCCTAACACGGCGGCGGTGACAGGTGGAGGACTGGTCAGTATTCGCTCCATAAGACGCACAGACATTTTCCCCCATATTTTTTTGGGGAAAAAAGTGCGTCTTATGGAGTGAAAAATACGGTAGTTGCAGACTTTAAGCATGCTACACATGCCCCCCAAAAAAACCTCATTGTACACAGGATACGTATACCCAGCTTCTGGGACCCCCCAGTATACCGCAATTGTCTTTACATTTGTAGTTTTCTGTTTTTCTGCAGGGGGGATGAATTTAGATTTGCAAATGATGCGAGATAAAGTAGAACTATAGGGAAAACTTTTTTTTTTTTCATTTTGGATAGAGCAAGGGAGGGTTATAACCCCTGTCATATTTGTTTTTTTTTTTGCCATCTGTGTTCCAAAGAGAATTCCCTTCCTGTCCCCATAGAAAAACAGGAAGTGAGAGCAAATCCCTGCAAATTAAGGGAATTCCTTTGGGTCCCCATTGGAAGATTTCCCATCTATTATTTTTCTGGGGACAATCCAAATTTGGAATTTTCTTTTAATTTCACTTTCAATGATAATGATAAACAAGACAAATAGAGAGGGTGAATCTCCCTAACAGGAGGACAGACAACAAAAGCTAACAGGGGTTCTAATCCTTGTCCACTCTATCCAAAACTAAAACAAGTTTTTTTTTTCCTTTATATAAAAATGCTCCCCTTTTTAACCCTCTATTAACCCTTAGTTTACTTTAATCAGCCCTCTTTAGTCTCCTCTCTTCAACTATTATTTTCTTGCACATTTTTTTTTTTTATTTCTATTTTAATAACAATTGATATTTAAACTTTTTTTTTTTTCTTTGTTTATTATTTTACACATCCAACATACATTTACACATTTCCCATTTAAAAAAGCACAAAATTGAAAAAAAGAAACACTTTATTTCATTCATAAATAACTTTGCAGTGCTTTGTACCAGAATCATAATTTTAGTGTCATTTTAAACAACAAATTACAGAATAAAATGCACACATTTTATGCACAATAACACAATTTTTAAACTAACTCTGCTCCAAAATTAGAAAAAGTATGTTTAGAGTTGTGTTTTATAGTCCAAGCACTGCGAGAAAAAAAACACTGTTGCAAGACAATATCATGAACAGAAAGCCTTTCTTGTCCTTCTAAAAACAATAGATGTATTACCTTGTTATCTTTAGTAATGACAAAGTTATTGTTGAATAAACAGGACCATAGCAGAAATGTAAAAATTGCTCTGGTCCATAGGGAATGAACAGGTGTGAGAGACGAAGTGCTTAAAGACAGTTTGGGTTTAGATCCACTGTAAGCAACAGCCACTGCAATGTTGTGAAAAATTATACAAGATTTAAGTTCATTTCCCAACTTCAGGACAATCGTACTCCACTTGGAAACAATTAAAGTGATATTAAAGACAATAAAAAAAAAACATATTATCATACAAATATAAAATGTGAACTAAAGTGAAATACCATACAATAACCCCAAAATATTATATCACAAATATATAAATATAATTAAATAAGTCACTCATGTCCAAAAGTAAAAGTCATTTCAATCTCTGATTCCAATATGGAAAATCTCCGGATCTTTAATAATGAGCCCTCCTATTGGCTCCCAAAGGAAATGTGAACCTCAAGAAAAAGGGAAACTCATATAGTGCATTAACTTTATAAAATAAAATAAAATACCAATAAAAGACAATATGCACTGTGCAACTTCAAAAATCAAACGTGGCCTTAAAAGTGAAAAGTGAACACAGTGTAGCAACCGTGATCGTGCGTCGTGAATAAAAATAAAAGTGACCATTCAGTGTAAACTTCTAGAGTGTAAGGCATAAATACCCTTACCAAAAACAACTAAAAAACACGCCATAATATTGCTGGGGGAGTATGCACCATGCTTCAATGAAATCCTTCCAAGCCTGAGTAACACTCTTTATGATGTCATCAACAACCTTCTCCTAGATGTCATCATGGCTTTTATGGATGTACTCCATAGTATCCATGCTCCAACAGATACGTGAATGGTATATGAAAAAGATATAATGTAATTCCGTATGGGATTATCAAAAATATACTTTAATATATGCACACATTAAAACAATATCAAAATCGCATTATTCCCATGCCATCAAACCTCTAGGATCGCCGAGCAGCATCCTGGAGTGTTTGGCATGTGTTTTCCAGTGTCCAAGATGGCCGATCCGCTTCTTTCGGTTCCTCTCTGTGCATCCGACGTCACTTCCCTTGACGTGTTTCGTCACTTCCAGGACTTAGTCATAAGGTGTGTGTGTTTGTCGGACTGGCCAGCCGCACTTTATAGCTCTCCTCCCCATGGCTCCGGAGCTCTGGCTGCCATATTGGGAAAGGGAAAGCTGCCCATAATTTCTGCAATCACGGAATCATTATCCATAGCAGCAGCTATAATGGGACTGCTCATCTCTATCCAAACATATACCGAGGCATTTATATATACACCCTAGCTCCCCACAATCAAAGATATTGATATATACATCATTTATCAGGAATCCTGAAACTCCTGTAGTCCCCATATTCTATAAACTTAACTATATCTTTAATTATCCTTATTCTAAACAAATCCTATAGGATATACAGTTGTGACCAAAATTATTCAACCCCCAATGCTGTAAAGGGGTTTAGGGACTATAGTGTACATTTGGAATTGTATTCAGAATCAAATCCTACAAGGACGTTGTAACTACCCAAATGCAACTAAAATGACATCAATTGTTTATGTAATACAGTAGTAAATGGTTCTTATGTGGTTTCTTCATTGCCACAATTATTCAACCCCTTAAAGACTACCACTCTGAAGAACAGAGGTTCATACAGGTGCTTTCCATCAGGTATTGAAAACACCTGTGGATGTCACCGAGCAGCAATCAAGCATAATAAGCACCAATTAGGCAGCTTTAAAATGACTGTGATACTCAGCTCCTTCTAGACATTTACTGGTGTGGTTACAAACATGGTGAAGGCAAGAGAATGGTCCAGGAAGACAAGAGAAGAGGTGATTTCTCTTCACAGGAAGGGCAATGGCTATAAGAAGATTGCAAAGATGTTAAACATACCAAGAGACACCTTAGGAAGCATCATTCGCAAATTCAAGGCAAAGGGCACTGTTGAAACGCTACCTGGTCGTGGCAGAAAGAAGATGCTGACTTCGACTGCGTGCGCTACCTGAAGCGTAGAGTGGAGAGAAGTCCCCGTGTGACTGCTGAGGAACTGAGAAAAGATTTGTCAGATGTGGGTACAGAAGTTTCAGCCCAGACAATAAGACGCACACTGCGTAATGAAGGCCTCCGTGCCAGAACTCCCAGGCGTACCCCCTTGCTGTCTCCAAAGAATAAGAAGAGTCGACTGCAGTATGCCAAAAGCCATGTGGACAAACCACAAAAGTTGTGGGATAGTGTTCTGTGGACTGATGAAACAAAATTAGAACTGTTTGGGCCCATGGATCAACGCTATGTTTGGAGGAGGAAGAGAACAAGGCCTATGATGAAAAGAACACCTTGCCTACTGTGAAGCATGGTGGAGGGTCAATCATGCTTTGGGGCTGTTTTGCTTCTGCAGGTACAGGGAAGCTTCAGCGTGTGCAAGGTACCATGAATTCTCTTCAGTACCAGGAGATATTGGATGGAAACGTGATGCAGTCCGTCACACACCTGAGGCTTGGGAGACGTTGGACCTTTCAACAGGACAATGATCCCAAGCATACCTCCAAGTCCACTAGAGCATGGTTGCAGAGGAAAGGCTGGAACATTTTGGAGTGGCCATCGCAGTCACCAGACTTAAATCCGATTGAGAACCTCTGGTGGGACTTAAAGAAAGCAGTTGCAGTGCGCAAGCCTAAGAATGTGACTGAACTGGAGGCCTTTGCCCATGAAGAATGGGCGAAGATACCCGTAGATCGCTGCAAGACACTTGTGTCAAGCTATGCTTCACGTTTAAAAGCTGTTATAACTGTAAAAGGATGCTGTACTAAGTACTAAGATTGAATGTCACTTGGGGGTTGAATAAAACTGATAATGCTGTGAGCACAGAAAAGACATTTGTGGTTATTTCATTATAACTGTTATGTTATATTTGTCTGACCTACAAGTGCCTCTTTAATGTAAATGTAAGCAAGATGATGACTGAATGATCAAAAGCAATGTCAAACTGGCCAAAACACTCAATTTCAGTGGGGGTTGAATAATTTTGGTCACAACTGTAGATTCCTGATATTATTTATATATCTATTGCAAATATATATGGGTATTATTTTTAATTTCTCATTGCAACACCTTTGTGTATCTAGGTGGATTAAACCTTGTTTTTTTCTGAAAAATTCTGCTTTCATTTGGTGGTAAATGATAATGGATATCTGGGAAAACTGGCCCAAAATAGTACAAAAATCATTTTTTTAAAATTGAGTTGTATATTTCTTGCTACTACCATAACCTACCACTAAATAACCCAAAATAAATTCTCCTGTTCCTGGCGATTGCAGCAATATTGCCTATGTTTATATCATTTGTTGTTTTGTGCAGCCCAGAACAATTGTGCACATATTGCTGTTTTTTTTTATTCTTCCTAAAACACACTGATGTTGACATTATCTTTAAAAAATGCTTTTTTTAATTTAAAATAAAAATCCTTCCAAAAAATACTGGCCATGACCTTTGACCGTTACACTAACCCTGGCACTGACCTAGATCAAGCCTTGATCTAGCTATTTTTTCTTTATTTTTTACACACATCTGTTTGTCTACACAGCTTTCTCCCTGCAAGGAAAGAGAGACACAATGTAAAGAAACACAAGTATGGGCTTCACAGTGCCTGATCACTGTAATAGCCAATCAGTGGCTAGCACAGAGATCAGGTGACCTGGAACCAGGAGTCCCATGTCCCGATCAATAGTACGGGACCCGGAGCTCCTGTTGAGATCCCGGTCTCTG